CCCCTCCCTCACCGCGGCTGCGGAGGGAAGGAGCGGGAGCCGCGCGGTGCCTTCCCCAGGGCGGGGGGACCCTGCCGGAGGGTACCGGGCTCGGGGGAGGCCGTCAGGGACGGGGAGGGCCGGAGGTCTGGGGGATGCTGGGGTCTGCGGAGTGCAGGGAGCAGCTCAACGGGTTGTCTTGCGGTGGCAGAGGTCCCTGGGGCTGTGCCCGCGGGGATCACTTTTGTCTGGCCAAGAGTCCCAGCCCAGGGCACCCCCATCTCGGGGGCACCTACTGGCCTGGGTGTTAGCAGGAGGTGTTCAGCCACAGGCCCCAGCCACAAGGCAGCAGTTGCTGGGACAGAGCCCTCGTGGCCATGGTCAGGTTGTGGGGACAGGAGACAGCATCTGGGACCCCAGCCTGGGGACAGTGGGGTGGCACAGAGAGGTCCCTCAGTGCCCCGCCCATGGCAGCCCAATGCTTTTCTGCCCTGTGCCCACAGCCCATGCACCTAGCTGGGTTCTGCCTGTTCCCGGCCTGGGGGTACAGGATGAGGTTGTCCCTGCAAGCCCCATATCCCCAGGTTGTCCCACAACCCCAGGATGTGGGCAACTGCCTCCTGAGCTCCCCAGCTGCCCGGTCTAACCCCGAGCAGGCAGCAAAGCTGGAAGCGATGCTCCAACTGCTGCTACAGGCATCTGGCCTGGAGATTTTCCTAATTACATTAATTAGAAGACAAGCAGGGCTTGGCTTAGCTGAGGCTGTTGCCTGCGTGTGGCTCATCAGGGAGAGATGAGAAGGATTCAGAGAGAGAGACAGAGGTCTGGGAGGGGACAGTGTGTGGCCTCCATGGCCATCCCCATGTTAAACAGTGTCCCCTGGCACCGCAGGCAGCAGAGCCCGTCCCAGCCAGCGCAGCGGGGAGGGGGCAGGCATCCTGCCCGGCTCCACCTGGGCTAAAGAACAGCACAGGTCAGCCCGAAATAGAGAGCGAAGGAAGCACAGCTTCTTCCTTCCTCTTCCTCGCCCCGGGCAGGGTGGCAGTGCCGGCTGCCTCCCTGCCCAGCGCTGCGGAGGGGCGGGAAACTGAGGCACGATGGCTGCCCCCCTCGGAGCAGACGGAGGGGGTGGCAGGACGCCGTGTCCCGGTTCCCAGCCGCAGCTCGATCCCTACCGTGACTTCCCCCGCCTTCGTGGTGCCGGGTTGCCCCGCGCAGATCTGGGACCTTTTGCACCACCAGCGTTTCCACCGCCCGCCTGATCCCGTCGGCCCTGCAGCATCTTAATTCCCCGAGGATTGTGGAGGGACCTCTCGTCTCCGGACCTCATTTCCCAGAGGTGTCACCGGTGGGCATGTGCTGTGCCCCGTTGTGTCCCACGCTGGCAGAGGGTACAGGTTCCCTTCCAGCCCCGTTCCCCAGGGGTTGCTCCCACCGTACGGGGATGGCTCAGCCCCGGGGAGCCGGAGAGGCAGAGCGGTCCTCGGGGGGCTGCCGCCGCGGGCATCGCTGCCTCCCAGGTCCCCCCGAGACCCGTGGGGCCATTCCCATCCTCCTCTGCCCCAGCCTAGCGCTCACGGAGGAAGCAGCATCTCCAGCCACCGAGACGATGAGCAGGACCGGCTGGAACCCCCGGGGCCGGACGCTGCCCGGGGACCCCATCGCGGTACTGAACTGCCCTGGCAAGGCCCAGCCGGGGCGGGGGAGGGGCTGGAGGGAGGTAACGGGGGTGACAGTACATGGGGGGCTTAGGGGAGATGAGTTTTCCCGAGGAGATTGATGTATCCTTAAGCTACTGGTAAAAGATGTTTTTTTTCGGAGAGCACCCGGAAACAGCCTTCTCCCTAGAGGCAGGAGGGCAGGAATGACAGGGGAAAGTGTGTATATATATATA